CTCCACTCGCGGCGCTCCACACGCTTCCCGCGTCCGCGCCGGCCCCAGGTGCGCCCGGCCGAGCCGAGGTGCGAGCTGCCGGCGCGGAAGGAGGGGCCCGGAGCCGGGGAGACGGCCGCGAGGCGAGAAACCCCGAGGCTACCGGAGGAGAACTTGCTTTCACACCGAGTGAGTAGGTCGTGGATGTTGAGGGGGGAAGGCGAGGGGGAGAAAGTATAGCTGTTAACTGCGAGCTGCGGCGAGCTGCTTCTGGAAGCTGAGCGGGGAGGGGGCTTTCGTGTTGTGCGTGTCCTTTAGCTTCCTGGTTTGGGTGCAGTCCCTAGCAACCCTCCCTAGTTCATGACAATAACCTGGGAAAGCAGACACTGTGAGATTGCCTGGCGCAAACACACAGGGGAGTGCAGTATCCACTGCCCTAAGTGTGAGTCCTTGAAGCACTCAAATCTTCTGTTTTCCTTCCCTCACTTTGTATCACTTGCTCTCTCACTCTCTCTCACACACCCCCACAGCACCCTGTAATTACCTACTCCAGGACTTAGAGCTGTTGCACAAACTTGGCTGTGCAAGGGACTCCCCTTGGAACCCATCGTGAATGGAAGTGGGGCCTGACAGTCTCCGTTTCTAGCGTTGCACCAGAGGCAAGCTGCTCCAAGAACCAGGGCTGGAAGTGTAAAACACAAACAAGCCCGCCACCTGCTTTCTAAGGGCAGCTGAGCCACAATTTGTAAAATAAGCCGAGATGGTTAAGTCACTAAGGTGCTGGCTTTCACAGACTTTCAGGCAGCTCTGGGGGTCCCTTAACTTCAACATGAACACAGTTCAGCGGGTCAAGTACTCTACATGCAAGCCTCTCGGTATCACCACTAATTACTTTTAATAAAATCACCATGAATAGTAATGCTGGTGGAAACAGAGAGATTCATAACGTAGGGCTCTATATGCTTCTCAAGCTAAGGGTTGAAAACACCAACAATGTGCAGTCCACAAACATACCCTCATTTCCAAAGACAATGTAGTCAGTGCCCTCCAAGCAGCCATCTGCTCACCAGGCCAGCCGTTAACCTGTACCTATGCAGCAAGTGTTCAGATATTCAGTAATCAAATTGTTTATTAAGCGAATAGATAAGCCAAATCAGAGGAGCAAAGACCAAGCATAAAGAAATAGAGAAACGCACTTGATACACAAGATAGGTTGTGTTTAGGCTTCCCATGGCTGGTTTAACTGTGTGTGTGTTTGTGTGTGTACATGCATATCTTTCTACATCCAGATTTTCATTTGGATTTCAACACTTATTCTGCAGATTCAGTTCAGCAATGACTTAGTCTGTATCCTAGTCAAGCTGTGTCAAGGGAGTGAACAAACCTGGCCTTGTCTCTGCCTTGATTGTTCAGCAGTGCACAGCTGAGCAGACAAGGGATCCAGAACAGCCATGTATTCACCCAGAGTCCAAAACGCAATGAGGTGTGCATAGATGTCCTGGAGATGGGGTCATTGAAGAGATTTTTAAACGTGATGAGTTCCTCGGATTCAGGTGAAAAGGAGGGAAGAACAGTTTCCTTTTGCCCATAGCATGAAGTGTGAGAACCTACAGGAAAGCAGCAGTGGCTTGAAAGACTGGCAGAGGTCACGTGCAGCAGGGCTACGGTGATAGCCTGAGCCACATGTGCTTTATTGTAGAAGCATTGTGCAGGAAATCTCCAGGATCAGAGAAACACCAGGATGATCAATAAAACAGATCAGTGGCACAATTTAACAAGAAAATAATGAAGCTGGAGCAGATATTTAGGAAGCAATGGAAACCCTATGCATTGGATCATGAAGGTAGGAAGGACAGTAACCGTTGTGGGCCTGAAGTGTAAAGATGTTTCGTGACAAACAGTGCTATGATGTAATGGACAATAGGCAGTAGATCCTTGGGGAAGAGGACTTTGACGTGTTCATGACAAGTGAAGGTTACAAGCCCAGGGAACTAGAAGAAATGATGATGCCACTCAGAATGGAAAACTCAGGGTGAGCATTTCACACAGTGGTTGAGCTGCCCATTGGGAGGCCTCTATCTGACACTGAAATGCCCGAATGAATCTGAGCCCCTAGTCCAGCTCCCTGCTAACATGCGCCCCTGGAGGCAGGAGATGCAACAGCAGCAGGTATGCTTGCAACCCAGGTTGGCTGCTGGGCTCCAGGCTTTACACTGCTCCATTCCTCGCTGCAGCAGGCACTTGAGGACTATACAGGGATGGGAAGATATTTCACTCCTTTTCCATCTCCCTTCCAAATTAAATATGTAAAATTAAAAGCAATGAAACAGTCAGAGGGGGAATGTATAGTTGGGTTTATTTTTATGCTGGTCTGGGAAAGGCTATCCAGTTCATTGACACTCACCCTTAGATTTACCAAAGCGTTGGGTCTGGGATAGTGTTCCTGAACCTGCATCTCTAGAGGTTTTTAGGTGACGCTGCTGTGCCGCTGTTGCTGGCCGGGAAACCACAGAAGCATTGCTGTAAAGTGGTTATCATGATGCCTGATACACAGCAAGTGGTGTGCAGTCAGTTCATGTTGTCCTAGCTGAAAATAGGGAACAGGTTCCAGGATATAAGTGAGACATGAAAGGGAAGGATGCAGAGGAATCCTGGGGAGAAGGCTGGAAATTGTAAGATCTCAACAAAGATCGTTCAATTTACTATGAGGAAAATTATAGAAAGAGTCCAAGATCAAGAATTGTTGTGGGGTAGGGCTAACGTTGCAATATGATGAATAATACGACCACCTGCAATGCCAGCATTCTGTGTGCGCTGCGGTTCTGTGGCCTGGATGCTCCACCCGCAATCCTACCTCCTGATAATGACCTTGGAAAGGCAGCAAAAGATAGCTCAGCTTCAGCTGTTGCAGCCATCTTGGGAGAGAATCAGAAGAAAGATGATCTCTGTTTTCCCCTCTTCCCTCTCTGGAACTCTTTTAAGTAAATATCCAAAAAAGAATGCTTGGGAAAGAGAATTCAGGAGGTCAGAATCATGACAAGCTGTTTCATCCAACATACTCTGAAAGATTATAATGAAATGCCAATGTCATACGCAGGATGATAGAAAGCCACAATCAGATAATAGAGAAAAGGACAGTGGAGGAACACCGTGTGTCAACAGAGAACATCAACGCTATTGCTGTGGGTACACATCAAAGCCTGCTCGCAGCCTTGGAAGCCACAGAGAATTAAGTGATGTGTGTTACATAATTGTCATTGCCTGAAATACAGATTTCTAAATCCCGGTTCTTACACTAGAAAAAAAGAACTGTTCCTTAAATTCAAACTTGGGAGAAAATCTCTGCCATGAAAGATTGGGTCTCTTAGAATTCATATAGTTTCTGTAAGTATGAACTTTAAATATACATTGAGACACAGCCTTACAAACGTGGACACTGGAAGCACATATGAGCGCGGTTAATAAGCACTTCCAATGTTTAGTCTTCTAGTGACTCATCTTTACCTGCTTATAGACGTCTGTGTACTGAGTGCCTGCATTATCTCCAAAACATGATTGGGTCTTGGGCATGTTTAATCCCAGTATGAACCTCCTTGGATGAGGCTCAGAGAAATAAAGGAATTTTTTTTTCTTAGGTTATGTCTGATAAGTCCCCATTCTCCTATTATAAAGTGTGTATTATTTCTTCTCTAAAGCACTGTCTTTTCAAAAATAAAATTGTCAATAACTGTTATCTATCACCACTTTATTTACTTTAGTTTGGATTCTTGAAGAAACAGGCTCTGGGGATGAAGAAATGAACACAAAGGAACTTTATCATGAGGAGTCCTGAGGTCCAGGCTCGTAAGAGAGTAAAGGGCATAAAATCAGAGAAGTTGAACCAATGCGTATCAGAGGCCTCAGCAATGCCACCAGAACCTGAGCAGCATCTGCCCTTCACCATCACCCTCACCGACGAGAGTTCTGTACCACTATATCAACCGTCATTTGTAACGCTCAACATTAAGTTCATTTCCAAGCTTACTGAAACTTATATAAGTAGTTGAGTATTTTATTTTCAGGGCTTGAAGGCAACACAATGAGTATCTTGATTGGTGCCATTAAAAAAAAATACATTATTTGAGGGGTTGGCGCAGTGGCCTAAGTGGTTAAATCCTTGCCTTGCAAGCATCAGGATCCCATACTGGCACTGGTCCATGTCTCGTTGCTCCACTTCCCATCTAACTCCCTGCTTGTGGCCTGGGAGAGCAGTCGAGGATGGTTCAAAGCCTTGGGATCTGGTAACCAAGTAGGAGACCTGGAAAGAAGCTCTTGGGTCCTGGCTTTGGATGGGCTCAGCTGCAGCCATCGTGGCCACTTGGGGAGCTAATCAAGGAGTATCTTTCTGTAAATCTGCCCTCCCAATAAAACTATACAAATCTTTAACAAATTATTTGAAAGGCATAAGGATAGGCAGACACAAATTTTTAAACTCCTATTTGATGTAATGAACAAGAAAATGTTTGGAAACACTCTACAAAAGTCGGAGCAACGTTAGTATCCACATTGCAGAACAGATGTGAGAATAGAAAGTTTGCCAGAAAATCAACTGTTATCAAAAATCTCTGATTTTATACTTTTCTAACTACAACGCCCGGTAATTAAAAGTACTAAAGTCCAAAACAATTGTGAGGATCAGAGCACTCTCAAGCAAAGTGCTAGGATGAACAAAGGTAGAGCAAATATGCTTGTCGGAGCTGTAGCTAAGAGTTGAAAATACTGTGGCTGATTTTAAATTAATGATTACGTATTTGTGTAGAATCAAATGAAGAGTGAAAACTTTGGGCAAAGTAGTTACACAAGGTAGAATTCTATTCAAATTAACCTTGACAGAACTAACAGTGGGAGAAATTGAAACTTGCTCCTATACAAACCCCACTTTTCCTTTGTGGTTGCTTTTTTTTCACTCTGGAAAATAACCCTGGTTCCAAAATGTGGTCCGTAGACCGGCTCTGTTTTCATCACTGAAAACTTACCAGAAACGCAGAGTCAGGCTCCATCCCTGATCCACAGAAACAGGAATTCTGAGTGTGGGTCCAGGCTGTCTTTGTTTTTAAATGGAGTCTAGGTCATTCTGATGCATGTTCAGGTTTTAGAATTGTTGCTGTTGTGCTTCTGCAGCCGTTTTCTCTTGAAGCAAATATCCTTCTAGAATATCCTGAAGCAACCTGCTTCTTGCAAATTCTCCAGGGTGTGGCTGCTGGCTACTAACATTTTCTCCAGACAGTCTCTTGCCAGGTGACTGAGCAGCTAAGTTTGGTAAGCACACCAGCACACCAATGGATCAGATTTTCTTTAGTCTTTCAGAGTAAATCTTTAATACAAAATTTCTTCCTTTTTTTTTTTTTTTCCGGCGGGGTTAGGGTAGGATATCATAGCACCAAGTGTTTGATTTACATCTAGGGCAAAAAAAAAAAAAAAACACCTTGGAAAGAACTTGACAGAACAACAAAAGAGACTACTTATTATGCATCTCAATGAGAAAAAAATAATCAACCTGGAAAGCACTTTCCTTTCATAAGTGAAAATCTGAAATGCTTAATAAAACAGAGAATAAAAAACTGGCTCAAAAACCTAGAGCCCAGATATTGAAGAGGGGGCTGTGGGCTGATAAAAAGCGGTTTTGAGTATATAGTATGTAGGAAAGATCAATGCAATGGCCAACTACAGCACAAATCTGTGACTCTCCTGGGATGCTGAATCTTGTTTGATCAACGGATGGGACATCCAAAGGAGGAGAAGGAACTGACAAAGCAGCAACCTCGGCATTGAGTGTATCTGGGCCTGGGCCGGGGGAGTTTTGAAATCCACAATTTTTATGCCGCAGTAAAAATACAAACAAGAGAATATGGGTAGAACATTAACATGCATTAGCGAAGACTTAACATTTTTCCCCCCTCTTAGCTTTCTAATTGAAAGTTAAGTTTATTGGGATTGAGAAATAATTTACATTTTCTTTATCCTTCCTGGAAATATGAAATTGCCAATGTTAAATTTTTAGAGAAACAAAACTTACAATTGCATGTTGTTGAAGTTAGATCATAGGTTTTAACTGATCACTGTGTAAAAATGGGATAGATTAATCAAAGTCTTCAATTTCCAGTTCTTTCAGATTCCTCTATCCCCTAAGGCTCTCTGCTGGCCAAGAACCACTTTCAGGATATCCACAGTTACGGTTCTTACAAGTTTAATTGTCTATTTACTAGCATATAGCCAAATTTGTTTTATTATTATAGTAATGCATTTCAGTTAAACTAACATAAACAAATATGAGTGTGAGAAGGACGTAGTATACCTCTGAAAGCTCAGTGTAATACTTATCATAATTCCAGTGTATGTGGTGCTTAAACGCCAGGCAACAAAATCCTTGCTCTTGAATCAGGAACAGGTGAGATGGGATGTAAATGACTAGAAAATATCACAATAATCTAGAGGGACTGCCCACATGGGAGATCTTAAATGCCTTTAATGTCTCATTGCAGAGTACAGAAACCCAAACCAGGCATTGTGTTGCTTTAATTAAGATGTTTTCAGCTGGAAGTAAAAGCAATTTTCCCTGAAATGGCTTAATTATCTTTTAGTCCTGTTAGCCAGAAGTCCTGAAGTAGGAAAGCTCCAGGGCTGTGCAATCCAACAGCTTAATCACATTATCTCATGTCATTCCCACCTACCTTCCCAAGCATTTGGAGTTGATTAGCAGCCATCCTTTACGGACTCAGAATAGCTGAGGCACTGAAGGAAGCTCAGCCTCATAAGCCAACAGCCCAAATCAGATTCAGGACCCCTGTGCAGTCCCTGTCCATCTGTGGGCATTGCTTTAAAAAGCTTTTAAAGACGTTCTGGTTTTCTTGATGTCTCACTGGTCAGAAACAGGTCATACACATTACATTATACAGTGGCAAGGTAGAGAATCATCCATTCACACAGGGCAAGGAAAGAGCCCAGGAAAGGGGAAAAGCTTTTGGCAGCTTGAAAAGGAATAGCTGATGGAAAGGCATTCAGTGCAGTGTGCCTCAGGTAGGACGAGTTCCATGGGGTAAATGATGACCTCATATTCACTAATAGAAGTACCTTTGCCCTGCATTTAAAAATTGGTGAATGAATTTATATTCATATGTATTAGGTTAAAATATAGAGGTTCAGTCATATATTCCTTGTCTTGACTGATTTTTATTAACCTAGTAATAATATTTTACCTGAATTAGAGTACACAATAAGGGTCTCACACAGAGTGTATTGTCAACAGACACTAGTAACATTGACAATTAGAATTAGAACAGCTGTAGTCAAAAGATCCTGTAAAACGCCAAAAAAAAAAAAAGTGTAGTTTGCCTCAAATATTAAGGAATTTTCATTGTTGGAAGAATTGTTCTGTTAATGAGTTTCAAAGCTAGATGTTGATGGAAGAAAATGCCAAAAGTTAACCAAACCATCTACTTCCCCTTTTGAGAACAAGAGAAAAACACTTTTCATAGGAGTCTAGCATTTTTCCCTCTCAAGATTTATTGGTTCTTATTGGAAAGGCAGATCAGATTTACAGGGAAGGAGACACTGAAAGATCTTCCATCTGCTGGTACTCTCTCCAAATGGCTGCCTCTTCCAGAGCTCTCACATGAACACAGGGGCCAAGGCTTTGGCCATCCTCTATTACTTTTCCAGGCCAAAAGTAGAGAGATGGAAGGGAAATGGAGCAGCCAGGACATGAACCAATGTCCATATGAGATCCTAGTGCTTCTAAGCCGAGGATGTAACTATTGAGCTATCATGTCTGACCTGCCTAGTATTTCAAAGATATTTTCTGTTTAGTTCTACCCAAGGAAATGTTGGCTAAAAATGTTTGCCCAAAATCATGGCCCCAAGTGTCTCCTGAAATTTTCAGGCAAACACCTTCTCATTTCCTCCAATTCCTTTTGTCATTCATAGATTTGAGTTAGAAGAATAATAGAAGGCTCTAAGATTCAAAAATTTCAAAGGATCTGCATGCATCAAATATCCTATTGGAAAGCAGCTTTCCCATTGTTAAACTCATTAGATTGTATGGTAATTACAGTAGTTAGCACTTAAGCATAAAATAAAATAGCAGTACTTGTAGCCATAATTGTGAAAGAAAGGGTACAATTTGTTTTGGCACCTATCACTCTACTTGGTTTGTCTAAAAATTTCTCAATTTTTAGTGTTTTTCTTTGTGCCCTTCCCTCCAAACATTTAGAAACATTTATGTTGCTATGCTGCGAAAGGAATCCATTTGATAGTTACAGCTATGCTAAGTTGTAAAGAACATAATTTAGTTGTACTCTCTCGTGTTCATTTGCATGTTAAAAAGAGCTGCAGAAAGGCCACAATGCTTAAACCTAGAGTGTGAATTTCCAATGCTCCTGTTTCAATCCTCTTACCCAAAAAGAAAAATCTACTACTATGCAATTTATCACATATAGAGAATAGGATATATGACTTAGAACCTTTACCCTAAACAGAAATTAAGTTACCAAAAATGTTTTAAATATTTGTTCTAAATCTCGTTTTGTTTTTCCTGCACGGTTCTCTAGCCACACTTATAGTCTATTAGCTAAAATTCTTAAAACTGGAAAAGTGCTTTCTGTATTTATTGTTATATCTCATGAATTTTAAAATGCTGAAAATAGGGAAAGATGATGGAGATGATTACATAAATTGAATTATGAACGTAAACAGTAAGTACTGTGTAATGAGCTCAGAATCGCTTTATGTATGTTCACAAACATTTTCACCAATGTTGGCGTTCACTGTTCTAGCCTGGAAGCAGTTCCAGCATCAGAGTTCTAAGTGTTGCACTTCTCATGTGGTATCATGTGAGTATAATAAATTCCTGTATTAGGATTAGTTCTTTCCCTTTTAAATAGATGAAAAGTATTGCCCTATGGTGTGGTAAAAATGGATACTCTACATTTCGGATATGTTAGAGCAGAACAAATGTCACCTCCCCCAAAACTCAATAACCTAATCCTCAGTGTGAGAAGGTAAGATGAGCCATGGAGAAGGTGGAAGGTTTGAATTTAAAATCAGTTAACTCAGTCTCTTCCGTTTTCAAATAATGCTTTTTCAGTAAATACTTAAACATTTCCTTTAAATTGGCTTGCCTTCTTGAGTTAATCTCCCTGGTCCTTATTCCTTCTCCAATGGTATTCATTTTCAGGGATGGTTTTGATATTGTTCATGGTCCCTATCATCCTGAAACTCACAAGCAATACTCCCTTAGTCTGCCTGGAAGTAGTGTTTGGGATTTTAGTCTCCACTTGTCACTAAGCTAGATACCTTTGTACAAACTTACACAAAGGCACACCAAAATCCTGAATCTATCCCTGGCTGAAAAGTTGCATTTCAAGTGAGGTTCTTAGACCAGCATTGTGGCGCAAAGTGTTAAGCCACTTCTGAGCCTGGCAAGCCCCATCAGAGTACAGGTGATAACGTAGGTTATTCCGATCTAGATTCCTGCTACACCTGGGAAAGCAGATGATCCAACAACTTGGGTACCCGCCATCCAAGAGGGAATTCAAGATGGAATTCCTGACTCCCGAATTCTGCCTGTTCTTGCAGCCATTAGAAGGGTGAACCAGTAAATGGAAAATTTCTGTCTGTCTCTGTCACTCTGCCTTACAAATAAACATCTTTTTAAAGATTCTTCAAAATGCATTTCAACCAGCTGGTTGTTTTTCAGTTGGAGGCAAACTTATGACCATAAAATAGTAATAAAATGATGCAGCTAATTCTATTTTCAGATTATTTTTGAGGAGGAAATTCAAGTAACAATAGCTAATGACAAGTGTTCATCTGATGAATTGTTCTTTGAATTAGGAATTCAAATTTCTAGATTTGTCTTTGTTGTTTTGTAAATGTGGCTTTCAAGTCATTAATTAGATCTCATTTTTCCCCCTTATTAAATGGAGAAGGCTACATGCTCCCATCCATTACACATTATCTTGAGCATTCAATAAGTTAATAGGGTAAAAAAATCATTTGAAATGGACATGTTTCAGACTGTAGAGTGGGACCAGCGTCGTGGCAGAGCAAGTTAAGCCATCACCTGTGACATGTAAGCATTAGTTCAAGTCACAGCTACTCCACTTCCAATTCAAGTGCATTTTTAAAGATTTATTTATTCTTATTGCAAAGTCAGATATATAGAGAGGAAGAGAGACAGAGAAGATGATCTTGCATCCGTTGATTCACTCCCCAAGTGACCGCAATGGACGGTGCTGCACCGATCCAAAGCTGGGAACCAGAAACTTCTTCCAGGTCTCCCACGCGGGTGCAGGGTCCCAAGGCTTTGGGCCATGCTCCACTGCTTTCCCAGGCCACAAGCAGGAAGCTGAATGGGAAACGGGGCTGCTGAGATTAGAACCGGCACCCATATGGGATCCCAGCACATTCAAGACAAGAACTTTAGCCACTAGGCTAGCGAACCAGACCCTCAGCTACCTTTTAATGCAGCTAGAGAAGCAATGGAGATGGCTCAGTGCTTGAGCCCCTGCCACCATATTACAGACCCGGAAGATTGCCAGGCTGCTGGCTCTAGTCTGTCTCAACCTGGGCTACTACAGTCATTTGGGAGAAGTGAATCAGCAGATGGATGATCTCTTTCTCCCTCTAACTGTAACTCTGCTATTCAAATAAATAATTGTTTCAGAATCCCTGCCATGATTGTGATGCATAGTGAGGTCTGAAAAGTCATGGATTTAGATGATGTGGCCAGTTATGCTAAGTGACGCAAACCTGGAGATAACTGACCACAAGGGCTAGTTCAGTGGCTGAACGTGGTCACTAAGTTCCAGGCTTTGTATTATTCCATCCTAGTGGTCTTAAGCCACTGCCAATTCTGCCTTCAAATTTAGCCCAAGTGTTGTAATTTCAAGACAAAAGGAGTCAAAATGCAAGCAGATCAAAGCAACTTGGGACTATCATGGTTATTAGGAAAATGTACACATTCCTAGAAACTCCAGCCTCAGTTGCACACATCTGGTTGGCAAGAACTTAGTCTTATGCCTTTTGAGTACACGAACACTTCTGGTTTTATTTTGAGGCAGGTAAAGGAAGGGAGGGTTGAGGATGGATATGTGGTTAGCCAACCAACAGTGTTCTGATGTCAACAAAAAATGATAGCAAAAACCTAGCAATTTGGAAGACTTATCCTGGAAGTGAGAAAGCATCTGGGAAATGAGATGCTGCATTTCAAAGGCTGCCATGGGGAACACAGTTCAGATGTTATATAAGCTCCGTGAGGCGGCAAGTGCGGAAACAACTCAGAAATCACAGATGTTGTTACAACAGGAAAGAATACAATAAACTTGTCCAAACATAAATAGGATCCTTATGGAATAGTAAGCGCCCTGTCACTAACACCATTTCTCAAAAACATGGTGGAGATCATTAATACCACAGGATTGAATTCACTGAAAGTAGTGCGTGAGACCGATAACAGCTGCTAACGCTTTGTGCAGGTTTCTCTGCCCTGATTTTAGATTAATATGCATTTCCACATTCTGCTACAGCAACACGAGAATTACTACCATTATTATCATTTGCAGAAATTAAGAAGTAAAGAGGCAATATGCCTAGCCCAAAATCTGAGCCAGGTTGAGAGCTCCAGATATTATGTCTTAAGAAGTCATATTCTTTATTCTTTCAACCATCTCCTGGACCAAAAACAATGCCATGATTTTGAAAACTTAAATAAGCTGCAAATTCCAAATTTACATTTAAGTGTAATAGTATAGCTTACTTCTGCTCTACTCTTTTATTTTCTCTTGGTGTACAAAGTGAGACGTATTTAGGAAAGGGAGCTACTTCCATAACGATAGGAGGGCTCTCTAACAAAGGAAAGACCCAAGAAAATGGTGGAATTATCTCAGAGAGCGAACAAAGGAGTCAAAGAGTGGAAAGGCAAACTCATTCACAATAGGCAGTAATTCTATCTAGTTCCTTGTTACTGTAATCATAAAGCACATCTTGTACTGTTTGTGGGCATTGCTGAAATCCTCAAGTTTTAGTTTCCAAAACGTCTACTTAGAACATCACGCCTTTCAGAAACCAATTCACATAAGTGGGGTTACCTCACAGCAGCACATGCCCTGGTGGCTTAATTTGATTACTTCTTGGCATCGCCTTATGAGACTGACAGTCTTCCATCATTCCCGAGTGCTTAAGTAAAAGCTCCTACCTGTCATGAACACTGTCTGTGTCATCTTCATTTGCAGTTCTGAGGCCACTTCAGAGAGTCGTTTTGGCAACTTGTCTATTGCTGTCCCATTTTAAATGTTCAGAATGGCTGATGCATAGGAAATATGAGTGAATAAATTAATTTATATGCCTTAAAAACAATTAACTTTTGATTATGATTTCAGTCATATAAATCTTCTAAATACTTTTCCTGTGGGTATCCTCTGAGCTAGAAATGACAGGCTACTCTGTTCTAATATTTGATTTAAAAAAATTATTTTCCTATAATAGAACTAATTATGTTTAGCAACAGAGAATATTTCCACACCATGAATTACTATGTTTGCTTCATTTAAACAACACAGATAACTTCATGATACAACTTGAAAATTTACTTTAGTCTGGAAGCTAGACCCAGTTTTCCAGAACTATAACCACAAACAAAGTCCATGCCAGAAATGAAGTGAACTTAGTTCTATTTTTACAAAACACCAAAAATAGAAATAAAAATCATAAAGAACAGATTTCCCATGTTTGACTCTTAGGGTGTGCAAGAATGAAGAGTAAAAGCTCCAAAATCAAGAAACAATGACATAGGTCTTTGTTATAATTGCTGTTTATTGTAGTGAACTACACATAATAAAATATGCTTCATTCTAACAATTCAGCATTTTATCCGTTGCTCTGTTGAGTAGCCTTCACCACTGTCTGTGCTCAACTATTTTCCCCTATTTTAACCATATATTTCCCCATTACATAGGGATATTTCTGAAAATAAATAAACTAAAGATTAAAAGATACTTTTATAAGAAGTTTATACTGTTGACTTACAAAAAGAATTGCAGGTATCAAAGTCACACACCTAAAATAGGTACATTAAAAATGATCAGCAAGGCTGTTAGAAAGGAAAGCCAATGTGAAGTTAGTAAAACAGAGCTGTTGGATCATTCTGATTTATGGAATCAGAAGCATCCAGTGAGTTGAACTTGAGGGTAAGTTATGAAAGATTTCAGCACAACGCATTAAACACATGAACTTTTTAGCTGATAATGTGATATAGCAGTTAACATTTAAATGCCAAGCAAATCCAAGAACTCTAGATTCTTAAGCAGGGATGGTTGTTCTCTGTTTTCATTGTAAAATACCAAGAAGATAGATCAAATCCTTCAAGGACAGAGTACTAATTCAACATTCAAGTTTATAGCTGAGAAATTATAGCAGACCCCATCAGTTTAATGTGCAATGATCAAAGATGTGATGTTTCACGTAGAAAAACGAAACAAACTGCCATCTGATAGGCAACACAGATGGTTTGTGACTAGAACTTCAAGTATTTACATGCACTAAAGTGGAAAGGTTTACAAATGACGAATCATCTCCATATGTAAATCATCAACCTTAGGATTTTAAGCCTGGAAAGGACTTTCTAACCCAATCTTTTCTTTCAGTAACTATGATAACTGGTGGGCTGGCCCTGTGGCATAGTAGGCTATTCCTCTAACTGTGGCACCAGTATCCCATATGGTCACTTGTTTGAGTCCTGGCTGCATCAGTTCCAATCCAGTTCCCTAGTTATGGCCTAGGAAAACAAACAACGGTTCTGTTTTGCGCCCCTGCACCCAGATAAGAGAGCTAGAGAAAGCTCCTGGCTTTTGGCTTAGGATCAGCTCAGTTCCGGCTGTTGCAGGCTTCTTGGGAGTGAATCAGTGGATGGAAGATTTATTTCTGTCTCTCCTTTTCTCTGTGTAGTTCTGTTTTGCAAATAAATCTTTAAAACTTCCCATAGGTGTTAAGTGAAATTGTTATATTACACATATAAATTTACATACAAATATATTTATGTATAATATATGTAGACATTACTATAGTAATATATCCTTACGGAACATATATTCTTAATACAAGATTTTATGTTTTAGGATATATTCTTGAAGATTAGTTATTTTTGTTAAACTTTGTTTTCATGAATTTACCATGCTGTATATAATTGTTATTTGTTAGTTACAAAGTAGTTTTTGTGAGAATAGACTTCTAAATTACTTCTGATTGTCTCATTGCTTCACTGCTTTTATGTTTACTGTTACAAAACTTGGCCTCTATTTGATATTTAGCTTCACTTATATAAGAAAATGTGTTGGGTATGAGCCTATGCATATAGCTTCTTATGAGGTCAAACGGATTTAGTAACTTCAGCTTCCTAAATTTGCTCCTAGAATAGGTAAGCATTTCCATTTTTTCAGTATCTACCCTCTTCTTTGTCCAATCTAATTAAATTTCCCATCTGATTAAATATAAATTGCATTATCGTGTGATTTTAATTTATGTTTTCTTATTTACTTGAACTGAGTATCATTTTATAAGTTTATTAGCCATTCAGGTTTTCTCTTCTGTGAAATACAAGTTCATGCCTTTTGCCGTTTTTTTTTCCACTTGGTTGGTTCTCATTTTTGTATTGATTTGCAGCAATGCTTTTCTCAAAACTAATGCTTCATTGGTTATATGTGTTGAAAATATCTCCTCCCAGGTTATAACTTGCATTTTCACTTTCTTCCACTGACTTTTGATAAATGGAATGCTCAATTTTAATATAATCACACTGGTCATCTTTTGGTTTCTGGGTAGAGATTTTTCTGCATTGTTTATAGAATACTTCCCTACAATGAAGTCATAATAAGATTGATCTATTCCTCCAGCCCATAATTTAATTCTAGTTCTCATTATGTCTTGTCAAATGCAACTGTATTTGCCCTTTGTGACTCCAAGTTTGTCAGCTCTCAAATCAGTCATCCAAAATCAGTCGACTACCTGTCTAATCCATTGCGATCCTTCCATGAAACTCTCCAGACGTTATTGGATCTAGGCCTGCTGCCCCACTCACCTATTTTCCGTCCTCCTTTGTTTCATCCATATGGCAGCAGAGAGCCCTGACACTTACGGAGCATTTCCCAGTCTTCTTTGTCCTTTGAGAGACTAGGGCAGAGACAGGAGGCTCTTCCTGATGCTTGTTGGCTTAGAAGCATCTCTGCTCACCAGCTGCATTCCTGTCCCATCAGGCTAAGCACAAACAACCCAGTTCCCACCAGTGATGATTAGCCCTAGGGTTCAGTGACAACACTGCCATTCTTGCAATGCCAGCCCAAGAAATGGCAGCTTCCAGGTGTGACTGACCTCTGGGTTGCTTCACTTTCCTATGATTGTCTCTTGACTCCTTGAGTTTCTCCTCTATAAATACTTGAAGATTCTTTAGTTTCCTTGCTTTAGACCCTGACAGAGGAGACCTGCATAATCTTTCTCATCTTTTCATATTGTTCACAAGCCCTACATTACTCAGCCCAGCTCCGCTCTCCAAAAAGAACATCATCCACTTTTTCCCATCCTTAGGGTTTGTCAAGTCTAACATTTCACTTTATTATTCTTTGGCTTTGAAAGATGACACACCTATACACTATCACCTTTGTTTTTTCTTTTCTTCTTAGAGAAACTGTCCATGCTTCAATACTCAGCCCACTCCACTGTGAATTCATTTCTATACATTCAGATGCAATCCCAGTGTATCTTCTTTAAAAATACACATGGAGGAAGTGGTTACAGGACACACACTGATGTGTAGGCCAGGTCAGTCTTCAGATTCCAACTCAATAGGTAAGCTCTGAATAGCCTTGTGGAAGTTATATTTCTGTACTTCAACTCATTCTCCAGAAAAATCCTGAAAATGATAGTACCTCCCATATGGGATAGTTTTAACATTTAATGAGTATTAGTAGGAGTCAATAAATGACTGCTCATAGCTATAACGTCATTTTATATCTCACATTTTGACTTACATGCCTGTATAATGCTTAGAAAGAGGTGTGTGAGCTTCCTGGGAGTAGGGACTGCAGCCGTTCGTTGTTACCATTTTTAGGTAGCAGCTCCTAAACTTAACACCTTGCCCTGCTTGTGCCTAACAACTGTGTCTTAAATACTTGTTAAAAGGCATAAATCTGACAGAATGTTTGGGTACAGTAAGGTCAGAGGTGGGAAGTCAGGAAGTGCTGTCTTCAGCCTCCTGCTCCATTAGTCACCGCTTTTCAGAGGGTTTGCAATTCCATTCGCTCTCTCTTCCCTTAGCTCCAAAACAGCTCAGAACATCAAATAATGTCAGAACATCAAATGATATGCCCCATTTACCTCTCCAGGAGAGTGCATGAGCAGCAGGTTCATTCCACCTGCAAACTTTATTCTCTAGAAGATGCACAAAAACATCCTTCACAAAACATACACTTGTCTCAGAAATGAGCGGAAGTTTTCCCCTTAAAATGTTATCCGCAGGGAGTGAAAGATTCAGCCGGAACTCATGTCCCTGGTGCAAAGGGGAGAGCTAAATTGAACCTTGGGGTAGAAGCAAATGATGCATTTGGCAGAGGCTGAATGAGGAAGGTGACCTAGCAAGCAAAGCAGTGCAAAAGCAGCCCAGAGGACCAACCTCTGAAATCTGTCCCAGACTGTGCAGTACTACTGAAGTTTTACTAGAAGAAGAGTCACCAACAACTGATCATTTGTATTAATCAAGGAATTTAGAGAGAGAGGATGTGATTCCTGAAAACTTTGAATCAACAGTTACAGCCCAAAGAGATTGCCAAGGCAGGGGAAATAGTTTAGGCTTAATATGGAAAAAAAATTGCCATTAGGGATTACATAGGCAGGTTCCGTTAATTCTGGAAAAGAGTTCTGGAATTGCTGAAGCCTAACAGGAATAACTCCTTTCCTCCAACTCTCTGCCAAGACAAAGCATTAAGTCACCTTGTTCTAACAAGAGAATTCAGAGTTGTGTTGCCACAAACATCGAGATTAAATAAGAATAGAAAGTTTTCTTCTTTCACACTCTTTTGGTGCTACATATTTTGTATAATTAATGTTGACAAAATTTGTGCCAATTAAAAAGCAAAGGAAACTACCACACCAGCATCAGGATATATATACCAGTATTACTGACCAGCAAGTCTCCCAGCATCAGTAAACTTCTACGAAAAATTAATTTCATGCTTGTCTGCTCTGGTAACACCCCTTACTGAGTTGTTATAAAAAGAGAAAATTGAGATCGTCTATGGGAATACCAAAAAGAGTTGATGCAGCTAAAAAGAATTGTCATGTTTACATTTTTTATTGCTTTGCGGCCTTCACCCACCTACAGCCTTTCATTGCGTTGCCTTGTCTGTTGTTATCAGAGTTTTAAAGTATTGCCCTAATAGGTCCTCATGAAGAATACAGAGAGATGTTAGTCAGAAACAAGAAGACTGAAATAAGAAATGATTAAGCTATGGAATCAAAAGGTCAACAAAATCTCTTCTGTCGAAAAGTGTCCAACTATTGGGGAATCTGCATGATGCTTATTGTATACAGCCCTTAAGTTTATTCTAATATTTTTTCTGCTATAATTTGTTTCACCAGACTAAGTCTGGGAAACATTCATTTTGGTCAGGAAGCCGTATAACTTTTCAAACTCCATAGAAAAAGCTTCTGCACAGCAACTAAAAATGTTATGTTGTTTCTCTTAGGAAGCAATTTGCTTCAAGGTGAAATTTCAAAAAATTCTCCTTCCAAATGATTTCCCAATTTTTGTTATCACGCATTTGAAAACAGCTTGGGCATGACATAGCACACCTTCTGCTCTTCTAAATCAGACTAAGGAACAGATGGCTGCTGACCTTTATCTCCAATCGGGTTCTGCCTGCCTGCTTATCTTATTTGTAGAAATCCATCTTACCTTCAAATATATTTCATTTTGGAACAGTTGATTCAATAGCCAATCAGCCTAATTATTAAAATCTCATCATGCAAATGTATCTGCCCATTAATTCCTGTTTGAGCAATGAACATTTTAAAAATCATTTTAACAGTCACAATCCCAGATGGAAACATAATAACTGTACTTACAAACGCATAAATTCAACCTGAAATATCCTGGTAGAGTTTTCAGACAAATGGGCAAATCTTCCACATTATCAACATGGAAACGCCACTCTCCTATGATCCAGGTGACACAGAAAAACTTGTTGAAGAAGAAAATTATCTTCTATCTAACCCATGCAACTATTAACCAGAAAAGCACTGTATACATGAAAACTTCCTGTAAAATTAACTTTTTGGCAATTAAACACAAATTTTATGATGATAAAAATGATGTGTATATAGGCAGTATTTCCAGGATCTTGAAGCATAACGCTGCATATCCACAACAGTACACAGACTTAAGACAGAGTGAAGGCAGTAACAACCACATGCCATCCACAGGTGACCAGTTCTTTCACATGCTTCTTCACTTCATCGCTGCCTATCGAACAGTTGACTGCTTAGGTAGACGGCACTATGGAAAAGAAAGATGTTAAAACTTGTATCAGTAATCTAAAATTCTTAGAATTTTTCTTGGATCTAAACGTCTAAAAGCTACCTAAAATTGTACAGTGGAGTATAAAGAGTCCAGCACAATGTGATGCATTCATGGACAGCAGAAAATGAGGATGTATTATGAGAAGAGAATGGTTATTCCACAAATGTCTGAGTGTGTAACAAACCTGGCACTCAGCAAACTATCTACCATGTCGAAAGTGATGGCTGGTAAATGACTGACTGCTGAGAAAGGACTAACAGTTTTGCTCTTTCTAGTCAGGCATATTTTTGTAAAACAAATAGGTCAGGCTTAGTTCCTTGTCCCTTTGAAAACAAGTCTTAATATTTTTTTTTCCTAGATTTCTCTCAGTACTAGCATCCTTATCCTGAAAGATTTCCAGGTGCACAATCCTTTAGAAGTTAATACACTTAAGAAGCAGAACAATGTACTTGAGAATGTTTGTGAAGGACTATATTTTTGTAATAATATAAATAATATAAAGGAAATCAGTGGGGGAGAGGGGAATTCAGGAAAGGTGAGTCCCTGATCCTATGGAACTGTGTCACAAAAAAAAAAAAATAAACAAGATAAAATATACAGAAGCTAATGCCTTATTGTGCACTTGGATTGAACTCAACAATTTATCAATAAGTACAATGTACAGCCTATTGGAGATTTTCTTTTGACCCTAAAAGTAATTAGAGTAATATAGATCCACAATTCTACCTGAATCAGTTTTCATTAAAAATGACTTGGAAACATTCAGTTACTCTCTAAGTTTAAACTCTAGGCCTGATGCAATGGCATAGTAGCAAAAATCCTTGCCTTGCACATGTATGGGCGCTGGTTAGTGTCCTGGCTGCTCCACTTCCCATCCAGCTCTGTGCCTGTGGCCTGGGATAGCAGTGGAGGACAGCCCAAAGCCTTGGGACCCTGTAACCATGTGGGAGACCTGAAGAAGCTCCTGGTTCTTAGCTTCAGATCAGCTCAGCTCCGGCCACTGCGGCCACTTGGGGAGTGGTGCAGTGGATGGACGATTTTTATGTTTCTCGCACTCTGTAAAATCTGCCTTTCCAAAGTAAATAAATAAATCTTTAAAAAATTTAAAATTCCTCATCAGTTCTGGCTTATTGATAACTTTTTAAAGATTTATTTATTTTTATTTTTATTGGAAAGGCAGATATACAGAGAGGAGAGACAGAGAGGAAGATCTTCCGTCCAATGATTCACTCCCTAAAGTGAGCACAACGGCCGATGCTATGCGGATCCAAAGCCAGGAGCCTCTTCTGGGTCTCCCACGCGGGTGCAGGGTCCCAAAGCTTTGGGCCGTCCTCCACTGCCTTCCCGGGCCACAGGCAGGGAGCTGGAAGGAAAGCAGGGCTGCTGGGATTAGAACCAGTACCCATATGGGATCCCGGGCGTGCAAGGCAAGGACCTTAACCACTTGTGCCACCGTGCCGGGCCCCTGGCTTGTTGATAACTTAAAGCAAAAATAGACAATTCAAACTAAATTCCTAAATTATATTAACTTTTAAAATTCTACTGGAAAATTAACACTAATCATTTTTAACCAAAATGATACAATCAAAATAATATTTTCATGGGAATTTGTTTTAAAAAGTCTTACTAAAAGGGATGGGTCTTAAAATATTATGTAACACATTTGCTTCACATCACTTTTGCTCTGACATACCAAAAAGGTACTCATGCTACATCTTCAATACCTGTGTTAAAACACTGTGGATATAATTTATACCCATCCACTTAAAAGGTATATTTTATAATAGAGATTAATATTATTTGCTAAGAGCTAGGTGTGTTAAAGACATTATCAAGGATGCATAAAAATAGTAAACAAAAATTAGTATTGCAAAATTGAGGAATTTCACAAAATGGAATACAATTCAGCCATAAAAGAATGAAGTTGTGTTTTTGCCACAAAAAAGAATGTAAATGGAAATCATTATGTGCTCTGAAATAAGCTAGTCCCACAATTATACATTTTCTATAATATGTGGTAGATAATATATCAAAAATATGGGGGAATAAAAGATAAATCTTGTGACTTGTTTTGAGCCCTTGTTTATACACCTGGGGAACTTGCAGTTTTTCTTTTGTTGAATATTTTGGTTAGTGATGCCTTAATCCCATAATAGAAAATGTTTATGCAAAACTGAAGGAAATAAGTGAGATGAACGGAGTGAGGAAATTATGGTTACTTCCTAAGAATTGAGTACAATAAGCATAGCATGTCTAGTGTTACAAAGACCTGTTTTTGTGAAACCCATGTTTTTTTCCAAATATATAATATGTTCCCTGAATATTTTTAGGTTTTATCTCAATCAGGTCTTTCGTAGTTCTCACGCCTTCATTTTTTAACCTCTATCCCTTGTCAAACACAACTGACTTAAGTGTTTTGTATTCAAAAACTACAACTTGGAGTGATCATATTTGGTGACCTATTACATTTTAACCATACTCTTCCACATTTCCAACAGCCTGATTTTGTTTATGAATTTAGCCTCCAAACACTACAGAGATATCTGCCCTGTTTCTTCTAGAAGCAAAGATATTTCTTAGAGTATCAAAGTTGATCTGAGCAAGGACAGTCCCTGGAGGCTCTTGTTGGTCCAGAGATAAAAGCAGGATAGAAGCTGCCCATAGCTAAGAGATTCTTGTCTTTGTAATTACTTCCTGAAGTCTCACTTTGGTCACTTATAATTGTGACATAACCAACCTTGTGGGGAAGCCGACACTGTAGAAAGAAATAACATGGAAAGGACAGGTCTGTGCAATAAGGTCACTCCTGATTACCTTAAGAGTGTATGTGGGAAAGTACCTTCATTTCAAATAAAGAGGTACCATAAAAGGCTGTGGGATTTTACAAGATTATTGTAACTCTGGAAGTTTCATAAAACTGAATATAGCATTCATTCCATGAGAATTGTTTAATAATACACTTTCATATATAATCATTATAGATTTATAGATGCCTCTCGTTTATAATACCTATTATTTCCCCTTGTTGACTATTATTAGAGGCTCATAGCTTTAAGAAATTCTTTAATGATACCCAAATTGTAACAGTCTTATCAATAGATACACTTTAAGCTGACTCCTTTGTGAGTTTAACAATATTCCTCTGTTTGTATTGTGTTTTTTAAATAAAAAAGATTCTGGGAAATTCTGAACCACTTGCCACAAAAATCCCAATTCTTTCTTGATATAGAACAATATTAATTGCAAAATTTTAATTTCTATCAAATGATTGCACATGATAAATGGGTGTTTTTATTTTAAAAAATAAGATGTATTTATTTCTTGCATACTCAATTAATGAATTAAAATATTTTTAAAGGTGATAATTTCACATTGTTTTAAATCTTTTATAAAATCAAATTCATTTAAAATCATTCCAAAATAAAAAGCTTATAATTAATTTTCAAATCTGTGCCATGAAACATGAATGAATAGCCACTTTAATATGTAGCCTAGCTTGTGATTCTTAATGGGCAAAAATGAGAAAAAATGTCTTAAAAAATATCAAAACATGGGCCCAGCACGATGGCTCAGTTGGCTAATTCCCCCTGGTGCAATTGCTAGACTCCCATACGGGCACTGGTTTGTCGCCCTGCTGCTCCACTTCCCATTCAGCGCCATGCTTGTGGCCTGGGAAAACAGAGCAGTGGAGGATGGCCCTAGGAGCCCCGGGACCCTGCATCCACGTGGGAGACTCGAAAGAGGCTCTGGGATCCTGGCTTCAGGCCAGTGCAGCTGTAGCTGTTGTGGCTGTGTGGGGAGTGAATCAGAGGGAGAGAGTGAGGGAGAGAGGGAGGGAGGGAGAGAGGGATCACCAGAGACTGCCTGAAAAGGAGTGAACAAGGGAACTAGATACTTTGAAAACAACCTCTGCTAGGGCATCCTGTATGACAAGCAGCAGTTGAGCAAAGGTTGAAGCCCTCAGGTACAGGTATCCCTAAGATAATGTAGCCTTAGAGCATTGCCATGTAGATAGAGACCTTTGACATGGGGTCTCTAAGAATAAAAGGCCAGAGGAAAGAGCTCTGCAGGGCTCCTCTTGCTTTTGGGGAACTTCCCTCTGGCCCTGAGCTTTCATCTTGACCTGTGTTTCTCTCTTCACCCTGGCTCACTGTTTGCAGGCCTCAGCACAAATGCAAATGCCAGTTGCTGGTTGATAGTTTATTCTGCGTGTTCAAATACTGCACCACACTGTACCCCATTAAACGCTCAATTATTGAGTGCGTAACAAAATGTTAAAATATTTGCTTAAAAAACATCCTGACTAAATGAAACTGTCAATATTTTCTAAACTACTCTTGTGAGAAGGTCCTAAGTCAAATCATGAATCCATCACAATTATGTTTTTATCCAGTCCTTTTACTTGTTTACTTGAGCTTTAATATAAAATGCTTGCAGACAAACAAAAACCAGGGCCTATCTTGAATCTCTAATGAAAAGGGTACATCTCTAATGTATAAGGGTACAAGATCAGGAATGCTGAAATTCACCAACGTGTGTTGCACAAATTTTCTCCTGT